CCATTAACCATGGTATAAATATTGGGGGGGTTGTACTTGCTAGTTTTTGTTATTGGGGGGGTTATATGCCCCCTATCCCCCCACAAACTAAGCCCCTGGCCACATTAAAATAAAGATTTTAAAAATGCAGGATAAGTGTCACTAATTAAATAAGTACATGTTCAGCTTTTTGTCAGCCTCTTGCATGCTTCTTAAAAACAATTAGCGGATAGGCATATAAACAGCCTTTTAATTAACAGAGTAGAATAATCATGGCTGATAGTAAGACATGCAAACGTAAAAAAAAAAAAAAAAAACTGGACGCAAGAACAGCTGTTACTTCTTGCCAAAATGGTTAATGAAAACAAGGATATAATCAAAGGAAATTTTGGAATTGGGGTAACCTCCAAAAACAAAGGTGATAACTTTTTAAAAGGTCATTATCATTAAATGTTTCAAAATTTTACGTTCAGAGGCAGATTGCCATCAACAGCCATTTTAGGAATAGTTTGTGGCATGGTCTTAGTGACTTAGAAGTCCTCTTCCCTACTCCTAACCTTTCACAGATTTAGGAGCTAGTTTTAGCGCTAAAACACTTTGTGAAATACTCTTAGAGCAAAAATGTAGGAGTCATAAATTTAGGATGGACACGCACATTAATTTTAAAATCGGCGAGTTATAAGCTTCTTTTAGCCTTAAGATGTTTTGTGAATACGGGTCCAGATGTTAGATTAATAAGATCAGTTAAGAATATTTAGTAAGTCAGTGCAGACATTTACTACTGCTGGAACTCACCATGCTGCTGCTGTTGCCAAAGGAGAAAGTGTTGTTTTGGGTGGTGGTAGCTGAGCCAAATGGTTTGAAGAGACTGGAACCTTGCTGTTGTTGTTGTTGTTGTTGTTGTTGCTGTTGTTGTTGCTGTTGCTGTTGTGGCTGGCCAAACAAACTTCCTGTAGTTGTACCAAAGGCCCCGGTGCCTGCAGTGCAAAGACTTAGCACACTTTTTCAACACAAAAAAAAAAATCAAAATTAAAAATTAAGGAAGAACCAATTACTTGTGCCAAATGAGGTCTTGTTCTGGCCGAAGCTGAAGCCAGTGTTTGGAGTTGAGGATCCAAAGAGTCCAGTGCCAGTACTGGGAGTAGCTGTGGCTGCTGCACCAAAGAGGCCACCCGTGCCAGCTGCCATGGGGTTGGAAGGACCCTTCCTTCCTGCCTGGTAATCCTCAAACCTTAATTCCTAAAATCAAGGAAAGAAAGGCATAGATACTTCATCATGGCTTTAAATCCTCAACTCTAGACAACAGATTTGTTACACATTTTGTTCTCTGCAGACTGTTTATCAAAGCACCTGACAAACAGTGCTTGTGACAATTATTTCAGCAGGCTGCCAAGTACTAAAACAACTATCACAACAAGAGAATCCAACCTACCTCAAGGGATTTGCTCTCGTATTCCTTCATGGCAGTGATACACTGGTGTTTGGTGTTGATGCTGGTTGTCACACCTCCTTTTACCCCTAATTCTAAAAACGTGGTACACATCTTTTAGCTAAGAAATCTTTAATGTTTTATGAAGTAAATGCAAAAATAGGCTACATTTTATATTGTCAGTAATATTTCAAGATGAACATACACTTAGGGCTGAAACGATTCCTTGAATACAAAAAATCAGAGGCAAATTATTTGCCTCGAGGCTTCGTTTAGTCCATTTACTGCATCAACACATGGACACCGTGTTTCCCCACGGACCATTAATACTGACGCACAACTCGATAAACGCTGGACCAGACCATAGACGATAGACTGTATAAAAACAGGGACCAGACTTTAAAAAATAAAGCGCTTGACATATTTAAAACCATAAATCAATATGGTGGCTAGTTATAATGTCCCTATGTTAGCTGTGTTTTGTGAAAGACTAAACGCCATTGTGCATAAAAATACCACAGAAAGTAAGTTAGTCAATATTAGGGCTGCACGATAAATCGAAATCGCAATTGCAATTCGACAGAAGCTGCGATTGTCATGTGTATCTTTCAGTGAAGCACGGTTCTGTGATCAGCAGTAAATCTCCATTGCCTCTCACAAAAGCCACAAAACCTTCCAAGAAGACAGTAAAGGCTTATGTCATGCTTGAGCTTTAGTTAGGCTGAAACTTGAAAGTTAAGTTGCACGACATAAATGCAATGTTTAGGTATTATTATTATTTTTATTACTATTATTTTGATTAATGCCTTAGTTTTAGTTTGTACCGTATACCTTTTTTAAAGTAATGTGAAATTGATTTTTGTATTTTTATTTTTGCCTTATTTTGCTCTATTTCTCGATTACTAAAATAACCGATAGCTACAGCCCTACATACACTAGACTAAAGCAATGTAGGTTTACGTTATTATCCACACATCTTCCCACTTACATTTTTTAAGAAAAACCATGTTAAAATGTCATCACTGTATTACATTACGTTATAGGTTTTGCCCATGTTTTAACCATGTAAAATAATAGCAAATGCACCAAAATGCATATTTTTGCTTCAAAATAAACAAAAATACATATTTTTTCAAAACTAAGGTGTTTCTTTATATGACATAATCAGGGCTCTACAGTGCGACCATTTCAGTCGCAAATGCGACTGAAAACTACTGCGTGTGACTATGAAATAATATTTAGGAGCACCAGTGCGACTGACCCGATCAGCATATTTGTGTTTGCGCTGAGGGAGCTTCAAAGGTTCTAACAAGCGCTCCTAAAAAGAAAAGTAAGCGTAGAGCCCTGATAATACATAAAAACATATGCAAACTTTTTTGGGGGATTTTTAAATATTTGTAGTCTATAGTAGTCTATTTATTCAAATAGTCTATTTGATTATTCTTCTAACAATTATTTCATATGTCAGGCTTTGCAGGGTTAATAAAGTTGATTTTATAAACTAGGAATGGTGGCTTGTACACAGCCACAAAATCTAACTGAACATATCAAGATACTACAGCTGCGTATTTAAAAAGAATATTTCAATTTGCATAATTCATTTTCATACTTGTTCAAATATCCAGAAACAAATGTGCTTTCACGAGAATTCTAAGCGCACCAGCTATAACCTAAAGGTAAAGCAGAGAGAAATGTGAGAACACTAAAATAAGTTTCAAAACGGCACAAACATAAACATCATGTGTCAGATACATATGATGTGCGGTAAAGAGATTTGTTTCAGGTATCGTTAAATAACTTGTAATGTCGGTTATTGTTCATGCAAGTTTTGACGTATATTAGCATTGTTAGGCGCCAGAAATGTAATGTGCCTGTTGACTTACGGGCTGTGGGAATGTGTTGTTTGTTTTGTTTTTGTGTGTGTGTGGTTTTATGATTAATATCTAAAGCTCACCAATAACGTTACATTTCATTATATATTTTGGTTTGCGCCGGATTAAACCTGAGAGAACCAGTTTGCACGGACTAGTGCTAACCAAGGCAGCTAGGAGCCAAAAAAAAAAGAAAGGTAGCCGTCATGTGCTTACATTAAAGTTTCAAATACAAATATGTGGCGCTGTAACGAGCTGCTATCAATTGATTCAAAATGTAACATGTTTCAAAAACCTTTCGATACAGATATACAAATGCCATAAGCAAAGTTTCTACTTTCACATTCACATGGCTCACTACAAATGCTAACTTGCTAGCAATCGGGCTTGAAACGCACTTTATCCAACAAACAGATTTAATCAGACTTACCGTTTATTCTGCATAGATTGGTTAATCAAACGTCCAGCAAAGAATTCCTCACTCGAAAGGCTAGGTATAACAAACGTGAATCCGGAGTTGTCCGTATCAACTTGCTAACTTTCGGTCTCTGCTCCGTGTTGATGGAGGGAAACAACGTAGCCAGCTAGCCGATAGCAATCAGCGTCATATTTAGACCTCAGACGTCATCACGCATCACGTGTTTATTTCCTTCAGTTCGCGTGTTCATGGGTGCGTTCGACTTCATGCGGCGCCGCGCAAACCGATCGGCGGCTGACTACATCCAATGTCATCTGAACATATGGAAGAGAAGAGAAGAAAAGAAAAAGAAAAAAAATTTGATAATGACTATTAAAAGAGAAAGATGCATTTAAAACAGCTTTTTTATGAACATAAAGAAAGGCAGGAACAGAACAAATAAAGAAAAGAGGATTTAAAAAATAAATAAATAAAATAAAATAAACACCAAAACAGGTATTAATCACGGTACATGAAAGATCTCATCATAACTCTTCAAAAAAGAAATACATTTTTTGTTATTAATTACTCTTAGTGATTTAATTAAATGTTCTACTTCACATAAGAAATCTATAAAAGTAGGTATTTTCTTAAGAAACCTTTGTTTGTTAAAATAGAATTTTGCCACAAGGATAAGCTCCGCCCCCGACTGCCAGCGGCTACTCTCGTTGACTGCCGTCTGTAGCGGTGCTTCAAGTCGAACGCACCTCATGTAATATACGCACGTCGCGGATGTTTTTATATAAATGTTCGTTTAGGAAAAGATGATGTTGTTGCTGGTATGCGTACTCCTGTATCATTACTAATGTTCATAAAGCCAAATGTCCAACCTGGAAACCTATAAACACGCCCCTTGGACATTTGTAAAGATTAATACGAAATCAGCGTAAATTCGTGTACAGAAATATAGGCCTATGTGAAATATAACACGTCCATAGCAATTGAAATTTTTTATATAGAATGTTAATGCACAGTTAAGGGCTAAAGGTTGTTTAAATAAGCAATCTAGTTCCTTTATACACGTGTTGTTGTTGTTGTTGGCGTTAAAGGATCGTACCATTGGAGGCGTACGTACGTCAACCACAACCCAATCTATTGTGGATGATCAACACACGATTTGATGTACAGTATTGCGTAGGTGCGAGTTAACTAGGTTTTGTGTGTTCGTAGGTTTTTCCAGTAGTTGGCAGAAATGAGCGGATCGCGCGTAGGGTTCGGGAAGAACTATACGTTTTGACCTGTGGAGGGCAGTACGCCTAGTGGCGTCTAAACTCGTAGATCCTCAAGAAGAAGACTAGTACATATAACACGAGGCGAACGCGGGCAAGTCCTTTCTGTTATGAAGCAGTAAAGAACGTGTGCGTGTTGAGAAAAAAATACGGCTGTTTGCTGGTAAGACACAAGTCACATTTTCTCAATAATGTCTCTTTTCATAATGTGTTGTGATGAAACCTAAACTGAAAATAGCTGGAATTACCGTCAGATGGTTCAGTGGTGATGATCGGTTTTCTGAGCACACTAAATGTATACCAAGTATTTTAAGACCTGTATGAGCGGTTCCTTAACGGTGTGTGTCTTCCTAGGTGTTTTCCGAGGACTTCACAAATTTATGGTGAGTTCTGCAGAAATGCTGTTACTTATTTTAAATATTGCCCGAGTTCATTATGATGAAACCTAAACTGATAATAGCTGGAATTACCGTCAGATTGATCAGTGGTGATGAACGGTTTTCTGATTTGAAAAAAAGAAAAAAAAGTTTAGCTTATGTGAAAAATGGCCTGCAAATGACCTAAAGTGATTGTTCATTTACCCAACAGATTCCGATGAAGGAGATTTGGACCGCTTTATCCTTAATCTTCATATTCAGACTTGTTTTCTTTGAACTGCTGTGTGTCCTATGAATTTCATGTTTGTATGTTGAGTGTATTATTGTAACTCAAGTCCTATTAAAAGGTCTTTATTCAAATATTGTTCTTTTATCATGTTTCTGTGGGTGGGGGAAAGTTCCTGACATGTTAGCACTTTAAAGTCACCATGAAATCAAAATGGAAATTTTTTTTTTTTTTATGGAATACTGTAGTGTTTTAATTTATCCGTGCACTTTTTTTTTTTTTAATTCATATGCCCTCGTAATCTTTAACCAAAAACGTTAACCTCCCCTCCCCCTCAAAACGACTCATCTCTTCCGGTCACGAGCTATGGTGCAAGGGCGGAGCTAGTGATGGGTAAATGCTGGGATAAACCACCGGGGGAAAAGCTGATGCTTCACTTTATAGCACTGACACCAGTCATGAGTACGTTACCCCTAAACACAGAAAATATATTAGGATATTACGACAACATTAGCCTACTCTAAGGATGTCGGAAACTAATTTTTTTTTTCATAAATATGACTTAAAGGGGTCATATGATGAGATTTCAATTTTTCCTTTCTCTTTGAAGTGTTACAAGCTCAAAGCCAAATGTCCAACCTGGAAACCTATAAACACGCCCCTTGGACATTTGTAAAGATTAATACGAAATCAGCGTAAATTCGTGTACAGAAATATAGGCCTATGTGAAATATAACACGTCCATAGCAATTGAAATTTTTTATATAGAATGTTAATGCACAGTTAAGGGCTAAAGGTTGTTTAAATAAGCAATCTAGTTCCTTTATACACGTGTTGTTGTTGTTGTTGGCGTTAAAGGATCGTACCATTGGAGGCGTACGTACGTCAACCACAACCCAATCTATTGTGGATGATCAACACACGATTTGATGTACAGTATTGCGTAGGTGCGAGTTAACTAGGTTTTGTGTGTTCGTAGGTTTTTCCAGTAGTTGGCAGAAATGAGCGGATCGCGCGTAGGGTTCGGGAAGAACTATACGTTTTGACCTGTGGAGGGCAGTACGCCTAGTGGCGTCTAAACTCGTAGATCCTCAAGAAGAAGACTAGTACATATAACACGAGGCGAACGCGGGCAAGTCCTTTCTGTTATGAAGCAGTAAAGAACGTGTGCGTGTTGAGAAAAAAATACGGCTGTTTGCTGGTAAGACACAAGTCACATTTTCTCAATAATGTCTCTTTTCATAATGTGTTGTGATGAAACCTAAACTGAAAATAGCTGGAATTACCGTCAGATGGTTCAGTGGTGATGATCGGTTTTCTGAGCACACTAAATGTATACCAAGTATTTTAAGACCTGTATGAGCGGTTCCTTAACGGTGTGTGTCTTCCTAGGTGTTTTCCGAGGACTTCACAAATTTATGGTGAGTTCTGCAGAAATGCTGTTACTTATTTTAAATATTGCCCGAGTTCATTATGATGAAACCTAAACTGATAATAGCTGGAATTACCGTCAGATTGATCAGTGGTGATGAACGGTTTTCTGATTTGAAAAAAAGAAAAAAAAGTTTAGCTTATGTGAAAAATGGCCTGCAAATGACCTAAAGTGATTGTTCATTTACCCAACAGATTCCGATGAAGGAGATTTGGACCGCTTTATCCTTAATCTTCATATTCAGACTTGTTTTCTTTGAACTGCTGTGTGTCCTATGAATTTCATGTTTGTATGTTGAGTGTATTATTGTAACTCAAGTCCTATTAAAAGGTCTTTATTCAAATATTGTTCTTTTATCATGTTTCTGTGGGTGGGGGAAAGTTCCTGACATGTTAGCACTTTAAAGTCACCATGAAATCAAAATGGAAATTTTTTTTTTTTTTTATGGAATACTGTAGTGTTTTAATTTATCCGTGCACTTTTTTTTTTTTTAATTCATATGCCCTCGTAATCTTTAACCAAAAACGTTAACCTCCCCTCCCCCTCAAAACGACTCATCTCTTCCGGTCACGAGCTATGGTGCAAGGGCGGAGCTAGTGATGGGTAAATGCTGGGATAAACCACCGGGGGAAAAGCTGATGCTTCACTTTATAGCACTGACACCAGTCATGAGTACGTTACCCCTAAACACAGAAAATATATTAGGATATTACGACAACATTAGCCTACTCTAAGGATGTCGGAAACTAATTTTTTTTTTCATAAATATGACTTAAAGGGGTCATATGATGAGATTTCAATTTTTCCTTTCTCTTTGAAGTGTTACAAGCTCTTGGTGCATAAAGAAAATCTGTAAAGTGCAAACACTAAAGTCAAAACCAAAGAGATATTCTTTAGAAAAGTTAAGAGTTAACCACGCCTACCTAAAACTGCTCGTTCTAACACGCCCCCACATACCTACGTCACGATCTGGGAAGATTTGCATAACGCGCCCAAAATGTTCACGCAAAGAAAGAGGGCGTAACTTTATTCTCACTTACACCAAATACACAAAATAATGTTCTTTTTAGCAGCATCATATGACCCCTTTAACCTGATGGAGGACGCGCTCCGTCATTGAGGCAGTCTCTCTCGCGCACGTGCGCCGTTTAGTCATGTTTTCTGCCGTTGATCGTTGTCGTCATCCTTAAAACATTTATTCATGCTTGGGCGTCGGCTGTGAATCCAGTGGAGAGAAATCCCCCACCACTAACTGCAAACTGGCATTTAGATCTGCCTCCATTTTGTTAGCAACGCCCCACCTTCCAACGATCCAATCAATTCCCGAAGGACAAAATCAAGTCCCGCCCTCTAATTTCAGATGCCGTTTCACTCGGATATACGTCACAGTAGAGAAGAAAAGACTATTGCAACTTCCGTTTCATGGCGACTTTAAGAATCATGAACTTTTGGATGTGCATATTGCATTGCACACCACATTGCTTTTAAATAAGGGGTAAGTGGCTAATAAATTGCCCTTTCCCATCTGTTTTTTAAAACCCTCCCTCAAATCTAAGACATTGAAAACTATGGAAAAAATCTCACAATCCAGAAAAAAATAAAAAATCAACTGCACTGCAGCAAACAAGATGCTTTGCCACAATTAACATTCAGTTTGTTTGTGTTTGTTTTTTTTCTTTATTAACTCGACAATAAAGTGAAATTTACAAAAAAAGAAAAAGCTCCATTCTCCCCAAATTTACAAACACGTAGGCTCACTAAAGCATTTAAATTATTTGCCTTGACCAAACCCATACATACGGTTTCAAAGAGGGAGATGAAGTGGTCAATCCATTTGCTAGTCGTCATCTTTTTCAATGTAGGGCTTTGCAGCAAAACGAGCAAGTTGCCGGGCCAGATATCTCTCTCTGGCTGAATTTACAGTCTGGTCACTGCTGCGTTTCGCAAATTTACTATGTTTCTGTTGTGCATCACTTTTGTCCTCAGGTTCCATAACTGTTTCTTCTTTATCATTGTCCGTCTGTCTCTCGCTAATTTTTTCCTCATCCTGGGTTTTCCTTTTGCTGTCCATTTTCTGGCTTTCTCTGTCCCTCTGATCTTGCTCTCCTTTGCGGTCCCGTTCCCTGTCCTTTGGGCTGTTGTCTCGTCTGTCTCTCTCTCGTTCTCCTTTACGAGGTCTTTCTCTGTCTTTTGGACTGTCGTCTCTTCTGTCTCGATCTTGCTCACCTTTCCTGTCTCGTTCTCTGTCTTTTGGGTTGCTGTTTCTTCTGTCCCTGTTACTATGTCTGTCATCTTTGTCTCTGTCCCCCCTGTCTCGGCCTCTGTCTTCTTTTCTGTCCCTGTCTCGCTCCCTTTCTCTTCTGCGGTCCCTGTCCTCCTTTCTGTGACTGTGCTTGTCTTCTCTGTCTTTGGTCTTCTCTCTATCTTTATCCTTTGCTCTATCCCTGTCTTTTTCGTTGTGACTCCTTTCTTTAATCTCTTCCCTCTCATGCTCTCGCTCATCGTCACTATCTGAAAGAGGGGATTTTTGTCTGTATTGCCGTTTTGAGTGATTGCTGTTTGTGGTGGTCTTAGTGAATGCAGCTTTGTTATCACTCTGGTCCTCATCGCTGTGGGATTCTGCCTCGCTCTCTCTTCGATTCACTGTGGGCTCCGGGGTTGGTGACCGTTCTGCTGCTGCAGAGCCTGTAGCTTTCTCCTCTCTAAAACAAGTTAAAGTTGATTATTAATTTTATTAGAGCTACAAAGACCTACAAATAGTTTCTGCATTTTAAAATGTGATATCAATTTCACTTAGGGATGTAATTTGAGTTTCAATGTATCTCCTTTCTCATACTATATGAATTTAAATATATTATGGATAGAGCAGTTATATTTTAGCCAGGTTTGAATTTAAAAACATTTTGATTGATTAATTGAGGGACTGGGGTCTGTTATTTGTACGTCAATAACTCAGTTAGCTGGTTCTTCAAAGCTCATCCTGAAGTTGCTGTCATAGCAACAGGTCCATAAGTTTAAACCTGCACGGGAGCAGGCTTATTTCATGTAAACAGGATTAGATTGCATCTTTTTAAGCGGAACTGATACTTAAAATCTTTCCCAGCCACTGCTACCTTATTACAAGAGTGCCATAACTGGTCCAGGGACAATATTTTAAAATAATTTTAAAATAATATAATAATGTTGTGTAGTCTTTAATACTGTATATACACAGCCAGTTTTACTTATTGCAATATTTATTAGTGATGAAACAATTACGTTATAATTGTATTGGGAGTCTTACACACATGCTATACACTACACTTAATATGAGTCGTGCATTAATTTGAGTGCGGACAGCTATTATGGGAGTGGCTTGATGGAACACAGGAGATGCAGATAACATGATCTTGACCCTTAAGAAACTTTAATTAATGCTGTCACATAACAAATCTGCTTCAAAGATAAAACTGAATTGCTAATTACAACATTAAAATAATGTAAAATAAATGTAAAGCCTGTACAAATGTTGTGAATATAAATTATATAAATATGAATAATATAAAAAATTGTGAATATATAATTGGGAATCGTAAAAAAAAATTACAAATAAATTAAAAACAGTGCACATTTCATGTATCTGTTATAACATTTATGTAGTACTGTTTCCTTATAAAGGTCCAGAAATTTGTCAAGTTTTTTGTCAGGTGTCTTTTTCAA